ATCATGGGATGGTATTCTATTGTTGGTCTGGTCTTCTTTACGTTGGGTGTCTACGGTTTTCTTTTGCCATGTTTGTTCTGCTGATGAAGTGCAGAAGTCGATACACAAAGAAATGGATACAGTAATCGGATCTGGACGCTTAATCACGAATGCTGATCGCGCCAATCTGCACTACATGAATGCAGTTATCAACGTAAGGCAGGTTTCTAAAAGCACTTCGTGAGTCGGAGGGGGGCGGAGACGTATACCATTGTACCACATTATCGCGCCCTTCTCCTTTGCAGACGTATACCATTCGGCCTCCTTGTTGAGAGGCGCACCAGTGAGGAACATGTGCTACGAGCCTCCGCCCCTCTTCTTCTCGTGGAATGTATCTTCAGAAATCAACATCTTTAGAACCGTTATTGCAGGAAGTCCAAAGGCTCTCTAACCTTTTGCCAGTGAACGTGTTTCATGAAACCACTTGTGATGTCGAGATCGAGGGCTATCAAATCCCAGCTGGTACACTTGTATTGCCACAGATATCCACTGTTATGTATGATGAGAAGGTGTGCGTTGCGGACTTTTATTTACTCCCATTAGTTTTGAATTTCAGTAAATCCTTTCTCTCTCAATCCTTATGAATGAATCGGGGGCGCAGTGCAGGCTGATAGCATGGGCGGAGAAAGCCAACTATTGTGCCGCTCTCATTGCTCTCTCTTGCCGTTTACTGCTGCCACATGCCACAACAAGGAGCGCACCAATGAGAACGATACAATGACTGACCGTCTCTGCCCATATCACCAGTGTGGATTGTGCTTTTAATTGCTAAGTGCTAAATTCCAGGTGTTCCCTAAGCCGTACGACTTTGATCCGCGTCGACATTTATCTGAGAACGGTACCTTTGTACGAATAGACGAAGTGGTTCCATTTTCAATGGGAAAAAGACAATGCTTGGGGGAAAGCATTGCACGAATGGAGCTCTTCCTGTTCCTTGCCAATTTTTTCAACAAATTCGAGGTGACTTACTCACTTTTTTTACTTTCAAGAGAAACATGATTGCCAGGTAGCGTTCCAACCATGAAGTGGATAAAATGCAGGTTACGACGTATGGCGACCAACGGCCATCAACGGTGAAGAAATTTGCCGCCACAGTACGAGCGCAGGACTTTTGCGTGGTTCTCAAGGAGAGGCATTAATGCTGGTCCACTTGTGGTCATCCCAGAGCTTCTTCACGAACGTGATTCGAATGATTCATGTATCGTCTTTTGTATAGAATTTGCGATGCTGTTCGGCTTGGGAGGGGCACATTGCACTTTCCTTAGTTCCTCTTAACGAGTTCATCTTAACTAGCGGGTTTCAATTTGAGAAGACCTTTGAGCCCTTGTGAAGCTGCAAATCGGTACAAGTCATCCACTTCAGTAACGGGAATTCACAAGACTTCACAAGGTGTCCTGTACAAGCTTCGCTGAGAACCATTCGGTACCCCTCCAGATCAAACTGCACCAAATTCCTTACCCCAGTATTATACAAGCTACAGCTTGTATAAGAGCTTATGCGAACGGATTTTTCAATAAAGTATTACACTTACTGTTATTTGATCAGACTGTTGAGTATCCTCTCATGGTTAGCGGGCGGGTCAGGAGACCCGTGTAGCGGCGACATGGTGAGACGAACAAGCTCCGCGCGACACTTCTCAGCTAGTTGATTTGGTTTCCGAGCATTTTCTTCATACTTTCGCAACTTTTATCCTAACCGGCATCCCTGCTGGTCTTCCGCTTTTATAACATCGGAGCTGGAACAGCGAAACAGTGCTTCCCCCCCTCCCCCCTCACGTCGCTGTGGTAAGCACGGGCTTGGAATCAGGGTCAAATCGAATCGTACTGCAGTCAATCAGATTTTTGTGTTCCTCAACTGGTTTGATGTGGTGAAACAACAGCCTGCACCCTGGCACGCCCTTGAACTTCTTGTTCTTGTTTGGCCAAATAAACAGACAATTCTGAGGCGAGAATGCATACTATGCTTCTGGCCAGGCAATTCAGAAAATAACATTCCGCGATAAGCGAAAGGGCGGAGACTCTTAACTATTGCGCCTTGTTTATCTATACGTCTCTCCTTCCGAAACCGTGAAGGAGTGGAGCTAAAAACCAGGGAGAAGATCAATTTTGGACTGCTGCTTTGAGGAGAAGGTTCTCAAAGCATTTGATCAAAAATAGTTTTGAGTCCAACCCGATGATCGCGGAATGAGCCGCGTCTGAACCCGACCGCATCCATAAGTCAGGCTTATTGAAACATTTTTATTATACAGCACTGATAAATGGCGATGAATCGATAAGTACAGTATGTTCTTCTGATGAAATTTCCTCGATCCTATTTACTCGACGGCAATCAGCTTCATTACGGTCTCGCCTTTGATCTCTCCCACTGGTTTTCCAGTGGCGAACGGCCTTTTTGGATCACGCTCTTCTTGTCCCACAGAAGCGTACTGAACGATCAGCTTGTCTGCCTTTGGGGGTGCTTTCTGAAAAGCAATTCCACTCTAACTTTCTGGCGTTTTCAGTGGAATGCTTAGCTCACAGGGCGGATTTAAGCTTGGGTGGGGGAATAGCATTTTGCATTTCCGCTGTTTCTCATTGTCTTGGCGAGAGCACAACAATGGGAAGGGAAAAATGCCCCCTCCCTATGTGGCCGAGCTGCGTCCAAAACATTTTCTTAATCAGGGATTGGCTGAATAATCGATACTTATCTACTCAATGGGAGGCAAGTGACTGAACCCACCTTTCTCGTAATTTCGATTTCGACTGTGTAACCAATTTGTATGAGACCATACATCTGCCTTTCAGGAACGGAATAATTCGATCCAGGGTTTATAATAATCTAAGAAAAGCTGGTAATGGTGCCCTGAACAATTCCAGACGGGACCCACCTTATAAGCCAACATCAGCGCGCAGTGATTCACCAGTTTGTACTTCTTTGTCCCGCCAACGACGGTAATATCGCAGATAGGCGGGTCTATGCTGAGTTCAACACCCATTCCAAGCGAAAATGATATCTCTACCAGAGTTTGAGCTTTTTATATCACGATGATAAGGTTGTTTTTGTACTCCAGGAGCTGGAGCTTACAGTAGTGAACAATCCATTTCCACTTCGATTTATGGTTAGTTTTCCATTTTTTAAGCCGTACCGTAGAAAAAACCGTTGATCAATCTCCGATCGCGAGAAGCGAAAGCTGTGCGTGCGTTTGCGGCGCGGACGTCTAGGATTTCTCATGGGCTGCGGGATAATATGACAGCGTTGGATATGTCTAGTAGAAATAGGTACTGAGGCTCTAAGCAAGCAGTGTGCGATGCGTCTGACGACAATAGGCGCGCTCAAAGCGTCTTAGCAAAAACTCCCGCCTGTCGGCTGCGTTTGCACTCACAAATGGACGTGTCAGCTAAAGATCTCTGCCTGTCTGCGCTCTAACCACTGAGCCAGAGAAACAGAACGCAGGTGCCAATTAACAATTTGGCGCATCATAGGTGGATGATGTTTTGCGTAGCCATGCTAGTTTTAATATATTTATTAATCTTTTTGAAGGTCAACGTATTTAGGGTGGGCACCCCACAGCGCTTGTACCTCTCTTCTCCCGATCAAAGCTACGGCTTGGAGCGCCGAAGTTCAGAGTTGCTGCTTGCTTTGGAATAGAAACATGTGACAACTCTGATCGTCCGCGCTTCGAAGACAGTGAGTACGATGGTTGGGGGCGGGCAGTTAGTGCCAACGTCATTGGTGGAAACGTTGCGAAAGGGCCTTTGACCACACCCTGCAAGGTCTTCCACCAATGACTTGGCAATAATCGCCCGCCTCCCAATCATCGTGCTCACTGCATTTAATCCTTGGCCTGACGAAGGTGCAGAGGAGTTCTGGAGTAGTCCACCGAAAATACGTTGGCGCTCTCATTTCTATGTACAATGTGAACAAAAGAAAAACATAAAACACATCTCTCAAAGGGCGTTATCGTCGGAACCATGGCCGAGCTCTGTATGTCCGCTGAGCGTCGATCGCTGCCACACTGGCTGACCTGGAATTCTTTCTATATAAAAGCATCGGAAAGAGAGTACGACCCAAAAAATAGACTGCTTCACGCTCCTTCTCTGATCGTTTACCAGATAATTCTCTTGGTTGACGGAAGTGAGCGCGCTGGCCAGCATGGCCGCTAGAGGGAGGGGTGGAGGCTCTCGTCTCAACTTTGAATACCTTTGTTTGAGCTCATCATAAAACGACTGCACGTAGTCTGTCACAAATTCCTTGAACACGTCCTTGAAAAAGATGTCGTTCATCGCTGACCTGAATTGAGAATACACTGGAACTTCAACTCAAATACACTGAAAACTGGATAAAGGCAGTTTTAGAGGCGGCTTTAGGGGTGAGGGGAAGGGAAATTCGGCAGTTTTAGAGGCGGCTTTAGGCGTGAGGGGAAGGGAAATTCGTCACGTCATTTCTTGTTCTGACAGATATTCCGGAAACCTTAAAAAAGCTATCACACTACATTCCCATCCCAAATATGTCGAAAAGAAGTGTTTCGCGCATTATCTAGGTGAGAGGAAGCAGACAAGCAGGGCTTCCCTTTTCAGCTATCCTCATTCATTGACATCTCTCACCATGGGAGCCGTAGATACACTCCATATCTTAAAAATGGACTGGCGTAGCTGCGTACGTTTTCCAGCGTGAGGATGCCTTTTGTATTTCCACTTGAGCGTTCATGACAAAGACATTATTAAAAATGTTCTAAAGCCTCTATGAGCCAGAATCGCAGTCACCGCCGCTTATAAATGGAGTACGCAGCTACACCCACTCTCTCCGGGTTGTGGAGTGAATAAAATCAAGTTTCTTGTTTATTAATCATCTTCGAATAAGGAAGGTTTACTGGCTTAAATGGCGTGCCCGAATAATGGAATACTTACAGTCCATACGGGCACTTGGTTATTTGGTCAGAGGGTCGCAGCGCGGCTGCGGCGCGTCACGACCGCGGCGATCAGCTGTTTCCAGCCTGGTTTGGCAGTTTTCTATTTTCACTACATTTTCTTTTTTTTCAAGGTAAGTTGTTTTTTCGGTCTTTATGAAGTATGTTAATACGTGGATTCTTTTCTTGTTCCCGTAATGAAGTGTTTTTGCGATTTTTTAGGTATTTGTCTAATTGTTTGTTTAATTGTTTAATTGTTCGCAAAAATTAGAGATCAATCATAATTTATCTTGTGAAGACAAGGAACAACTAACCTGAAGAAAAGCAGCCAAAAACAGTGAAAAGTAGGAAGAAAATGACTAAACCCGGCCGGAAAAAGCTAATCGCCGCCAACAGTTCCTAGTACGCAACCGCTGCCGCGTCTGCGACCCTTCGACGACCGCCTTATCAACTGCCCGGATGACGACTGTATAGATCACCTAGCAGCAACATTATGAATGTCGTCGCACCGGAACTACATAGGCCAACACGCTCGCCTTAATGGAACACTGAGCTCAAGGGAGCTTCTGATCGTCCCCTCTGAACTCACCGACATGGGCACTGCTGTCTTCTGACCATATGCAGACTACCGTAAACTCACTGCATTTGGTCCATAATTTTATCCAATCGTGCCATAGTCCTCTGATAAGACCGTCCTACGGCGTCCACATAGAAAGGATTACTGGCATTCAATTGCATTTGAGATCGTTGGAGGTAGGCGGCTTCCCTGAACAGAATTTGAGGAGAAGAAAGTGGACCCCCTGAACCTATGGAAGACATAAAAGACACCTCACCTGTTGTGAACCCAAGAAGCGTTATCATATTGCTGCTTCACTGTTATGAAATCCCGTATTGAATCACGGACTTTGTAGCCTGAAACTTAAGCATGTGAAGGAAATGAAACGGGGCCGTAGACACCATTTTATCATTTCTTGGCCGCAAGATCCAAAATGTCCCAAACACCTAGTCCGCAGTGGCCACATGGGCGGGGTCAGACCGATCATTGCACCTTCTTCGTCAGTGCGCCTACCCATTCTAAGAAAATGGAGAGGAGGGACAGATCAGTGACGGCAGAGCGGTTGACTCTCTCCGCCCACGCAACGGCCATGGGGAATTAGCATTAGAATTAATTAGATAGACGAACAATGCTGGATTTCTCACCTGGAAAGTGACATTTGTCCTCTCCAGAAACCAGCTGATTGATAGTTGTTTCTGATGGGCATTTGAGCACTCGCATAATCATTTCTGCATCTTTTTCTGAAATATCTCATGAGAATTTTTGAGCCAGGATTTCTTTGAAGGAAGCAAGACAGAATGAGTAGGGAAGTGTTTCTCCAATACATTCTACACCGATCGTATTCAACTCTTCCTTGAATTCAATGCTCCTTGTGAAGCGAAGGGCCCATTAACTGGTACCAAATTCGGATGTAAGGGCGAAAAACGTTGCTATTTTCACCCGCTTTCCCAGAAAGTTACCATACTGTCGATGCCTCTCAAAAGCAATCACGATTGAATGGGTGTTTAGCGTAGATAATACTCAACTAGTTCGAAACTTACCTGTCAGAACAAAATTCCGTAAAATGTTGAGGTTAACGGCAAGTGAGGCCATTGAGACGGGCATCAATTCACACAGAGAGGCGAAATGGTCATACCTTCAAAGAAGTTCGTAGTGCTAACGTACAGTCACCTTCCTTGCTATCAAGAGAGCGTATGAAGGGGTGTGCATTAGAGCCAAGGCACCTCATCCATTGTGGAAATCGCAACGGATTGGCAGGAACTCTTGATTACTCCAGTTTCACGTCCTGGCCTTCTTGATGGCGAATTATAGTGGAAAAATTAGTGAGGGAAAACGTTTGGTCCATACGCCGAAGATAGAGAGGGCGTGACTGCAGACCTCTTTTATACGTAGCCACGGCTGAGTTTTCACACCGTGACGTGCCGAAAGGACGTGATCATCTATACAAAGAGCAGGAAACAGGGCGACGATTGTCTTGAATAAAAAGATCTCAACAAAAGCGCAGTTGCTACCACGCTCAAAAGAAGCGCGCAGCCACGCCCACACCATCTTCGGGATCTAAGATACACGTCGTGAAAGGAATCGCACCCACCAGAGGCAACTGGAGGGCTGGGGGGGGGGAGGGACAAAAACTGGTGCTTAGCAATATTTTCCCACAAAGCGATGATGTGTCCTGATTGGACAGCAGCCATGGTGCCATCCTGAGCCGCCAAATGTTGCCGGCTCAGGATGGCAACAATGGTGAAAGCCGCCCTTGCTTTGCTTCAGTTCAGTTTCCCCCTTTCACACCCTTGGCATCCTTGCAGTGAGTACGTGCCATGCCTCTAAGGACAGGATAGTATCCAACATACCGAAAATTCGCTGAAGTCAAGAAACTTGCCTCTGCCAGCCAGTGAGTATGAAACCATGGAAGTCCTTGAAAAGTTCCCCATGTTCTTCGGCTTGCAGGAACCTGCAAACCAATAGTGCGGTGATACTTGCCATATCGCAGTTCGGCGTTAGAGAGGGGGGGGGGAAAGTAGGAGTATGTGATTTTGATGCTTCCTATTATTGTGTTAATTGTTTTAGAAGAGTTGGTAGATATTCTTTACGAGAGTTGATCAGTATGTACTTCCTACAAATACTGACTTGTAGCACGTCATGGCTTTACGAAAGTGCAAAATGCCCTCCCCGAAGCCTAATCGCGCCGAAAAAACTGAGGGCAAGTACTGTGTGTACTAGTGGTACGAGAATATTCGCAGAATATAATTGGGTGAAAACAAAGAGCCAAATGCTCCACTAACCATTGTCTGTTGTTCTGAAGGTACGGTTTCATGCGATTCCAGTATCGATTAGGTCCATCAGCACCTGAAAGCTCAGCATCAGCATGGATATAATGGGTATTATTTCCGAGTGGGGCCGTAATGTGTAGTCATGATCCTTGCAAACGTGAGGGCGTTGACGCGGAGCGGCTTGCGATTGCGAGGATGGCATCCTTTTTCTATAGCGATGCCATCCTGAGCCCGATGCTAGGTGGGAATGCAATCTGGCTGCGCTCCGAGCCATGCCCCCTCACACGCCCTATCGTTTGCAGAGGATCATGACTGTAGCAGAGGGAGAGCCTCTGAACAAGGTATGCAATATGCTAGAAAAAAAGTAGCTGTTAAACTATCCTCCCGGATGTGGGTCAAAAGGCGTCAGAAACCCTGGTCGCAATGGGACGACGCCATTTTCGTTGGGCAGCCTTCAGAATTAGCAATGACGAGCGTCAACGCACTTCAGTGCTACCAAACCAGGGCACATCGTTGTTGGGGAATCCCCAACAGAGGGGTCGTATTTGGCTGAGGAAAAATTTATTTTGATAGTTGATTTTTCTCGCTTCACGGACGTTGTAAAAGGGGGGGGTCGTACTTGCTCATTGTTGGAGGGGGGGGTCGTATTTACTTCTGGCCTTTTAGGAGTGGTTGGTGTGATTTTTCCTGTTCGGTATGCACTACTGCAACCCCCCCCCGCGTCGGAGAGCGACAATTTTTCGGAAAATAGTAAGGAAGTTTTCGGGAATTTGAAAAAGGTCGAGAAGTTGGAAGAATCTGAGAGCAAGAGTGGGGGTCGTAGTGTCTCACGCCTTTGGCTATTCACATTGATATTACTCCCCTCTCCGCTGTCGACGCTCGATTCATGAGGGGGACCGAGGCTGGGGTGGGGGGGGGGCTGGTCGTAAGGACTCGACAAAATCCTCATCCATATGATGTGCGCTATGACCCAACGCACCATATAAGAAGGTACGGCAGCTATTGACTAATCCTACCCAAAAACTCAAAAAAATTTTCTGTTTCGGCTGAACGTTGCCTATAGATGTACCACGACGCCTTGTCATGTAATATCACATCCGTTCGAGCGCTTGGCGCATTTGGCGCCATGTGCGCTCAAATTTGTCACTCCACCAGATTTTTCCCACCAAATTATGAAAACTGTCATATGGGGGTTAATCGACATCCTATTACGAATATAACAACTGGTATTTCCAAACCTGGCGACCTTCGCGCCAAATTGGTGCATAATGGCGCCAGATGACGCCAGCGCTCGAAAGGGATGTGAAATTCGTGATCAGCGCATCGAATTACATCTACAGGCAACGTTTCAGCGATAAAATTTTTTTTGAGTTTTTTGGGGTAGGAATAGTTCAATAGTGCCAAAGGTACATCGATGCACTTTCCTTGAGAGAGTTTGGGAGGATGGGAAGTAGGCTGCTGTCGCACACTTCTTTATCTACTACTACTATCTATCTGTAGTCTCTCAGAACAGTAACTGCCAGCCCCGATCGATAACATTTACGTTATCATTCACTTTTATCGAATAACATTTACGTACATCTCCACTCTTACCTTTGAATGCGCTTCCTCCCCACACAGGAATGACGACGGTCCAATTCCTCCCCATTCTGAGAAGGAAGATCGCTAAATTCCGGTGACGAGGTGAAATTCATCCAAAGTGGCTAATCGCGTCCGGCATCGCGGACCAGGACAACGTGCGGCCAACGCCTTCTTCCTCTCATGCAGGATACGCCTATCCCACACGCTTACATAGAGAGCGCAGCGAGCAACCAGAAACTGGCTTTTCTCCGACTACATGACCTCTTTACCCCCCTAACCCTAGCATCCACAGATGTAATAAAATGTGGAATTGTAGTAGCTGAATTGCACCACCTAGAAATTGTTCTAAGCTTTTTTGATGGTATAGTGTAATGTGACGACGCTTTCGAAATTGGCGTATATTTCATATACCCGGTGTTCCAATCGTCATCATATCCCTTCGATCCAAGAAGATCGTATAAACGTCTGCTCAACTCCTCATACCACATCAGACCTGAAAGAAAACGTGTCGTCAAAATAGAGATAGAATCCAATTCGTCACATTTAAGTCGATGCCAGGCAAGTTCAGGTCAATATGTGATATCAGCGAGAAGGGTGTTGTTCACTGTGGATAGTAGGGGGAAGTATAATTTAGCCAGAGGCCCGCATCCAGCTTATCCTTTTGAGGGCGGAGTAAAGTACACTCGTTCTCCTGAGGCCAGGGTAGCGCGTGGCATTTGAGCATAGCAGATGTTACCGTGAATATCCAGTCAAGATGACAACTGTCATCTTTTGTGTGTTGGATAAGACACGAACCACTTTGTCAGGAGAATCTCAATCTTAACACAGCAGACGCGCGTAGCTTCAGGTTTAATTCAAGGATGCAGCCACGCCATGACCCGTCTCAAGGATTTCAGTATACACTCTACGCATGGCCATAGTGGGCGGAGTCAAGGTTATCTACACTGGTGCACTTCCGAGAAGGGGGAAGGCAGAAATGATGGCTGTCTCCGCTCATGTTCGTGGCTGCGTACATCGATGAACATGGCTGCGGCTAAGCTTTTGATGGCATATTGCTTTCTTGGAACAGTTTACTATTGAAACACAACAAAACAAAATGGCGATTATCTCAAATGGAAATACCTCATGGAAAAAACGCATCCTGCCCCATTTTTGAATAAAGTAAGCAGCCCCGTCTCCAGCTCCTCTGCTCCATCTTTGAAATATGCTTTAATCCATAAACTTCCCTGGCTACTAACCTGCGATTTTGGAAACGTTTTCGTAATGTTTGTAGCAACAGTACGGATATAGTCGAACACCAAACGTTTCGTACTGTTATGGTACTTCACCGGTAGCAACTTGCGATCGGCATCACATTGTCCCATCTGTAAGTGCGAGATAAGTGCCTCACTTGCAATGACTGGTTTTCTACCCAAAGGAACCTCGAATAAGTAAGAGGTCTGATTTGGCAGTTTAATGCTCTGAAATTTGGCCCAATTTACACTGAGAGCGCGAGTCTTTTCAAGGATTCCTGCTGGGAGCTGGGGATTTCTCAAGGATTTATGTGAGGGTTCATAGCCCTTCCAAAGGCGTGCTCATCAATCAGCTGGCAAGTGCTTCTTCCTCCTCAATCATATAGCCTGGTTCTTATCGAGAAGAATTCCCTTTTTTGGTCTCTGAAGCAGGTGAGTGGGTCACCCATGCCCTCGTTCCGCTCGTTAGCTCAACGCACCTAAAGCTGGTTAGCCTTGCCTACCAATCATTCTACCACGCCAAAACGGCAGAGGACCCTTTAATGAACGTAGGAGTGACATTGCTCTGAAGAAGGATCAGCTGGGATTAATTGCGGCGACCATATAGCAAACGCGAAACGGGAAACACGAAAAGTAAACAACCTCTCGCAGGGGGCAAATGCAAATACGACCCCCTTGCCCCCTTTAAACCGTAACCGAAACAAGGAAAGATATCAAAAAATTTTCACCAGGTCGAATACAACCCCCTCCCCAGCGACTAAATACGATCACCCTGTTGGGGAATCCCCAAGGACGATCTGCCCTGACTACAATACCCCTGCAGTGATCCATTAAAATAAGAATACCTGGAAGACTTCATCAGCTCCTATATGAATGTCGGACATTTGTACCTTCGAATGCAATGTCATCACCTGAAATTTTGTAAAGAGTCAATAATTTGGCATACAACCTAAATGGGGCGGGAGACGTAAAAATGTGCTGGGGATCGGGCCAATTAGACAAGACTGTAAAGTACCTGATGAATGGAATCAAGAATCAGAGCCTGAGTTTCGTCATTACCAATGCATGCCACCTGAAAAATAATTAGAGCCAGCGTAATAATACAATAGGAATAAGAGATGGTGACCATAAAGCTTGTAACATCTCACTTTGAAAATTTTGTTTGTACAGTTCATGCTGGTTATGTGGGCGGAGTCAGTCCCACCACTAGGCCTTGTTGGTGCGCTCTCATCGGAGCGTAGCCTCCTTGCAAGGCCGTGAAGTGGAGAAAAGCACTGCGCAGAAGTTTCAGTTGTAGGTCACCTTCGAGGCACAGCAGTAGGGCTGACTCCGCCCATGCGGTGAACGTGGACTGTTTTTCCTCTTGTTCTCTTTCTGGACCTCTTGTTTCCAGGGACTGCACTGTTTTATGAAACACCCATGTATACGCTACAATTAAATATCTTAGATGCGTGTAAATCGACTATTTTATGGACACTTATCAACTGGGTCCCATCACGATTTGAGGAGAATGTTGGAAAAAAACTCTTTCTCCCTTTGATCCAAGTCACTATCACCCTAGGCACCATTTGCCTTCATCTGGCTCACTTTAGGGAAGTCAGGCTAGATTTACTTCAAAATTTGTTCCCAGAGAAGACTAGGTTAGAGATTGTTTTCGGGAATGATTCAGTCCGCATGCAACTACACACCGGCTGCTGGCCCTCTTCTCCAGCCTTCAGGTCATCGGACGCCTAGGACCCTTTCCTAGTGGGTGCTTGCAGCCCCCCCCCCTTCTCCCCCTTCTCCCAACAAAATGGGAGTCTCCCAACAAAAAGCCTCCCAGGAATGTACACTAAACCAACCCAAGCTTGAAAAATATGGTGATGCATGTCAAAGTACCCCGTATTCTGATTTTGGTAAAATTCACAAAAAATAGGGTGCATTTTGCTTAGGGGGGGGGCTTGGGAGGGGGAGGGGCTGATTGACACTCAACTAAGCTCTCACACACCACCTCGAGAAGATGTGTAAACTCCGTGATTGGAGTGGGTCAGTAGTTCCATTTCTTAGGTTCACAGGAATTTACAAGTGTCGCTTTAGTCGGAACTGGTTATTTAAATAGAACTAGCGAAGGAAACCAATGGAACTGCAATGCTCTCCCCAGCCCGAACACGCTGAAAATAGTGACTATCAAATGACGAACCATGGGAAAACTGGTGTTCTCACGTAAACGAGCAAATTCTTCAGTTTTCAGTATCCATTCGAGATGTCCAACAGTCTGCACCAAAGGCGTTACCGACAGCCCCAAGGAGTGCGCGCTGAAGATCTCACAGCAGTTATTAATTCAAAACATACAATGTCTTTCATATGGAATCGGACTGTCGAACTCGGCGTCCAGCCCTTGAGTTTCTGCTGCTTGGAATTATGCCAAATGGATTTCTCGGCGCTAACAAGCTTGCGGGAGGGGCACACCTGTAGCGCTTGTCAGCACACCAAATCCTGTAAATAATATACAGGTGAATACAGGGAAACCTTGTCAACTGCCGGTGAGCCTTGTTTTCACCTGTCAAGCGTCTAAACTCCTGTCAGATTTACTAAAATGACTTGTCAAGAGTAGGAAAAATGAAGAAATGGCGTTCCAATGACGCTAGCACCATATCGCCAAGCTTGGCACAGTCATGTTTACAGCTTACTTCACAGGACTTAACAGGACCTGCAGGGTGAGACACAATTGTGATAAGACAAAAGGGAAAAACAATGAGAACAACACAGGTGAACCCCTCCCTTCCGAGGCTACTAGCACCGATTTTTATGAGAATATTGAAATATTTCTATAAGAATGAAAGGAAAACTGACGAATAAAACGCTTACTGTTGTAAAATGTCCAGTGTTTCATCAACGCTGTAAGCGTTGCCATTTTTGATTCGACCCAAAGCACCCGCATAGGGAAACATGTCCTGAACAAGAACGATTTTCTACTACCTTCACAAAAGATCCTGAGCGTACCTCCCATTCAATAAGCACACCATCGGCTCCTAAGTCGCTGACGATAGTAAGTAACTGCTTGAAATAACTCGGTCGAGGAGGGGCACCTGAAAATTCCCAAAAAGTTGTCTTCCTGTGGGCTCCCGATAACAGAAGGAAATATAGGAAGTCATAGGTACTGAGAACGTCGCGGGCTAAAGTCAAGCCCACCATTGTGCTCCCTTTATTCTTGCCCGACCCTTGAAGACGATAACGATGAACAATATAGAAAGGTATAGCCATAGGCCTGACTCCGCCCACACGACTAGCATGGACCGTAGAGAGAAGTCTTGATTTTCGGACAACAACGCAAGTCAAAAGCGGATCGCCGTCCAGAAATGCAGCACTAGAACATGAACTAGGCACGTTGATGGTCTGGACGTTCTACTTATTTAGCCCTCAATTTTTACGGATTATTAAAAAATTCCATACCTTTCAAGTCGAAATGAACGATCGCTTCACGGTGACTTGCCTGGCATTGAACCTCAAAGAGAAAGAGCATTAGTCGAAACTCTCACACTCAGCAGAGTCCATACCAATAATATGGGAGGTTGATGTCAACTACTGAGCCTCCTGTTCTTCACTGTGATGCGACAAGAATGTTGAGAACATTGAGTAGGAAGCAATTCCAGAAGTGTAGGCCCCACCGCCCATACGATGTGTTCTGTGTGGCAACGCCAGCACTTCCCACGCTTTCTCTAACTCCGCCCACATTTAAATTCGGTGACTTCGTATCAAAAAATACTGTGAATGCTCACATTTATGAAGAACACAGCAATGATAGTACAGAATCGACGAAGAGCAGTCATAATTTCCATTTGGAGTCTCCTGGAATAGAACTTGGGTTTGGAAATGTCCACACACTCTGTATAGTTTTCCGGTAGAACATAATAAACCTAATAGGAGTCTTGTTCGGCTTTTTTTTTCGCGAACAAGAGAGCGCAACATAAAAAGAAGAGCAGCCGGCAAAGAAACAAAAAATAACAAGTTGATGGCATGAGGTAGTGTAGCATTAATCAAAGAAACACGCTTACAGCTGACTTTCACGATTGTCCGTAAAACCTTATCAGAGGCTTTCATGCCGTAAATAGCCCTTGTTTTGAAGCTTTTGTTTTCCATTGATAATGGTTTCTTTGTAAGAACAATCTGATAAAGCACGCGTTCAGGAGACCTCCGCGGTGGATTACGATAACTTTCAGGGGTCTTTCAGTGAAGTAGATACTTTAGCTGGTCAGCAGCTCGGCAAAATCTTAGGTGGAGAAAGAGCCTCAGTCGTGGACTAGAAGCTACCGTGTACTCTTTCCGAGGCGAAACACAGTACGAATGAGGGGTGTATTGGCACAACCGTACGGTTAGGCAAGACTTGTAATAAGTGACTTACTGGAAACGTGACGGCAAGCTTTTTTGCAGCCAAAAGGTTTCACTTTCCCGCGATTCTTTCTGCAATCGTTTGAATTCACTGGAACTGTTTTTGTCCTCTCATACAGGGAATATTGGCAATTTGGGCAGACTAGAGATGATGGAATGCTTGGTTATCACGGGCGGGATTCGGAATATCTAACGCCCTGTTACAGCGTGACCTCGCTACACGTGAACTGGCTTAGGAAAACATTAAATCCGGCTATACATAGCCTAATTCAGCGGGTTTTGATTTATTGTTACTGATATACACACAAAAGCAACGAAACAAC